TATTTTGTGAACGGTTAGCAGATACTATGTCTCAAGACATCTTCCTCCAGCGAGAACATTCTGAAGGGTCCAACGAAATCATTGAGAGCGGTGCGAAAGTTGGCTGAAAAATTTCGATCACTTGACATATTCCTGGAGGGTGTATATAAGACGATTTATCCTGGAATTGAGAGATATTATCCTGTCATCAAGATGGCATCTCCTGTTGTAGTTATCATCGAGAGCCTCAAACCCTAAAGACCCTCCCCCAAGGACTCTTGATCTTGGCCAAGTTACCAGGTTGGATATAGCTATTCAGGTTTGAATTCTTGTGCATTCTGGATCACTTATTCCGGTGACAAGTGGTCATTTAACCTTGGCTATGAGCAATGGTGATTGGGATAACATACCACGCTAGTAAAGTACCTCCCCAAAAGTGTTGGTGAAATGGGCTTTTTACACCAAAAACATTGATCTTTCACTACTAGTAGTTTAGGAACCACAAAAGATTTTACAACCTGACTTCTGGTATGTAGTTACAATAATCCCACCCTACTCCTACTCAACTCTTAATAACTTTGGGAAAGAATTGGAGAAGTTATGCAGTCCTAAAGTTTTGACTTCACTGAAAAGCTTCATTTTACATACAAAAATGGTATAGCAATGGGTATTGTCAACTTTGGAGACTTGTAGTTTAGCCCCATAGAATAAATTGACAGGATAAATGGTGTCAGGTAAAAGCTGCAGTGAAGGTGAAAATAATTATATGGGTTGCAAGGATTATTTCAAGCAATTCTAGGTGTGGAGGTTGATCAAACCTGCCAATTTTTGGTGTAAAAAGGTCATTTCACCAACACTTTTGGAGAGGTACTTTATAATCATGTAGGCGTAGAAGCTATTGTTTCCCATGTCCTATACAACCCGTCTCCTATGACGATGCATACACACACACACTCCCTGAGAAAACCCCCCCCCCCCCCCCGAAATCAGAACAGTCATGCTCGGTCACTCGGCCCGCCGACTTTACCGTCAATTTTTATTCTCCGGATACACTCTTATAGCGTAGCTACAATACCACGTATACCGGGTCTGTGCTATATACTACCCTACTGTGGTTCCGGTAGCCCTCCGCGTGCCGGACGTAGTAATTTTCGATAGATCATGTGTGTGAACGGTCGAGTGTGGGGATGAGGGGGTGCCCAGAGGGTGGGGGGGGGGGGGGGGGTGGCGAAGAGTGTTTTTAGCGGGACGGACACTACTATCCAAGGGTAGTGGACATTTGGCTGAATGAGGGAAGGAGGTGGGCCCTACTGTCTGTTGATATGATATGAAGTCTTTCATGTAGAGGGTCTCCAAGACCTGTGGCGGGGGCTAATAGGGCTTGTTCAATACGATCAGTATGATGGTTGTAATAACTGGCCTCCGAGTATCCTCTCACGGGATATATGCTGGTAGGCGGGTTTATAGTTATATCTTGATATAATTCATGCGATAGAGGGAAGTACCCAGCTTAGCTTTGATTCTTGAGCCAACTGACTAGGTCACGCTCGCAGGGGCCCCTCCCTGGATAACTAAATGGGAGAGGAGTACGAGAAAAAGAGCTATAACTCCAAGAGCCGCAAGGACCGTATGCGTATCCGTCGGCGTTCCCCCAGAGTAATCGCTTCTGATCCGTCAATATTTATATATGAGCCACTCCATAGAGCCCCGTAGGGCCCCGTACATCTTCGCAGTCCGCTTCTGACAACTACAGAGCCTGACCGATTCACAACAGCCTCCGGGAAAATTTTCGCGTTCCGTTGCCGAATCCTGACGCCCTCAGATGTCGCAGGACCAGGCGGACTGTGAATAGTGGTCCCGTACTGTCCACCCTTCCTGGCAGTTTCCCTGGCACCGCCGAGACCCCCAGATCGCTGCGAGCACTGGTGGGGAGACGGCTATTGCCGTGAGAGCACAACCCACCAAGGGACGTTCAGTCAATGCGGTCAACTGGAAGATCTGAAAGAAAAAAAAATTGTGTTTGAAAGACACCTGACAAGCAAATTCCGTACGAAGCTAGACGTGGATTTTTATGTTGAAAGCAATATATCCTGGTAAGTATCCTCGTTCTTAGATGTAGATAGCTGCTACTGCACGAAGCCCCACAGGATCCAGGAGGACAACCTCTAGCATAGAGTTCATCTAGTGGGGTAGAGGGCTTTTTTCTGTCGGGGGTTAGAATGTCCGGCGAAGACCTCCAACACTCACGACCGACACATTGGTAAAAACAATCAAGAGTCCGCAGTCTACGTACAAAGCAAAACTCATATACTAACCAAAGAAAGTGGGACGTCCACCCGGATTAGAGCGGGATAAAGGAAAAACGAGTCGAGAAATAGCACTGGTTATCTAGACGGTAAAATTTGGCTGGCGCCGTGATTCACACTGCTCTCTGCGAGCCGACTTGCCGTACTCTGGCATCCGCTCCGAGCCGAGAACTAGGCTCACTCCAGCCTGACCCCAGCTCAACGGAGGGGAATTCTGCACACTTTCTACCCCGCCGGGACCTGCGCGGGGCACGGGGGTCAAATCTGCGTACTTCATTGAGCTTCTGTGTTCGCCAATGGAATCATCAAACAGGATTGGATGGACCGCAACACCTAAATATGGAGTAGTTAGAAACAAAACGGGGGCAGATATCAACCCCGCTATCTCATCCTGGGTATTTGGAACGAGTCCCTGCCTAAAAGCTTGTGTGATCGTCGCGGTGCGATGCGCTCACGGATCTTTGACGACGGTACAACCTTTTGATGTCTTAACGGAAGAAAACCAATCAAAAGTTTACGACATCCCCTCCAATGGATATCCCTTTGTGTAACTCCCTACTTTACAAGTTTTTCTTTCTTTTTTTCGTTTTCAATCCTCACTAACTCCCATAGAATCTGGACCCGTGCAAGGTCTTGGAGATCTGCATCCGTCAAAAATGGACAGGTCGGGACTACGGTGCGCGCCTTCATTGCTTTCACAATAGTTGTAAATATTTTTGAGGCTAGAATGGGGCGGTCGGGTGTCAAGGTGAGGGGGGGGAGTTCAAAGTGAGCGATGGGCAATGTGCTGATGTAAGTAATTATTGGCTACGGGTAGCGAGGTTGTGTGGTGTTGGAGCGTAACATAAGATAGTCTACCGTAGAGTATCGGCATCCGTCCAATACTACGGTGAAGGAGCCCGGCACATTCTAGTCCCCCACCATAAGTATCCGAAACACGGATTAAAGAAATACGGTAAGGCAACTGTACGAGTACGATATCGTATATAACTCACCTCCCCCTGCTTTCGGGCGCTTATGGCCAGGGACGAGTGGGCTAGAAACTTTTGTGTGGACAAAACCAGAGTCTTTCTGGTTCCCGGTACTCGAGTATACCCCCCCCCTGCACCCGCCACCGTAAGCCCCACTCGCTTCCTCCACACCACCAGAGCACTTTTGTTACAACATGCCTCTACGAGTACTGTACGAGTACAGACTCTACCCCCATGCATGTTTAGGTCCAACTACCCCCCCAAAAATAATGTCCCGGTATTGGAACCAGAGAAACCCTCGAACCCCCCCCCCATTCCCAGTACCGTACTCAGGGTCTCCGCTTACATCCACATCCGACACTCCACTGGGGGAAAAAAGGTCACGAGGTTCACTACTGATAACTAGGGCTAAACATCTCTTTCGAAAAAAAAAAAGGAAAATCGGAAAAAAGTCCAAAACATCAATACTCAGAAACAGCGCTGTGATAGAAGGTGCGTTTCTTGACGTCGTGAGTAGGTAAATATGATGGTAACTTAGGAGAGTGGTATTTGAACCTTCATATTATACCGTAGAATTACGATACCCCCTGCACGCAGTCACGAAAGGGGGGAAAAACCAATTGCCCGCACGATCATTATAAGTCCTCAAATTACATACAATATCTAAATTACAAAACCGAGCCATGGAATAGCGCGCCCTTCTTTTGGAGTCCTTTGAATAGCAGTTTATTATCATACCAAATAACCAACCAGAAAAGACCCAATGGAGGCTGACGGCTCACTATCGTCGATCCCGGGGGGGGGCTTTCTATGCATGAAAACACACCGCGAAAAACGGGACAAGTGCATCAACATCTCCCAGAACTTGAAGCCAAAGTCAACTTAACCCGTAGAGTATCAGCGACTGCTGTTCGAGCATGATAAATTAATTTTCGACCACACCGTGCTTGTACAAGTACTGGTATATACTAGGCGCTGCACAGTAACGGTACGGTACTGTACAGGACAAGTACCCAACCGCCAAATCCGCAAAGCAGCCAAAGCGGCGATCCCGCAAATGTGCCCTGCCGTGGTACTGTACAGCGCGGTACCATAAATGGGACTGCACATGATTTTAGCAACATGCGATGCACTACAGGGATTGCGGTGGTGGTACGGTATTATGCGGTAGCCCGGTGCTGTGCAGGGGTGTGCGGAGCGGTGAACCGCAGGAGGTGGGGTGAATGGGGTGGATGGGATCGGGGGACTAGGGGTTCCCTAGTGCGGGGGGGGGGCATGTCGCTGGTTATCTTTTGAGGTTGGGTTTGGTTGTCCGGTATTCATGGGCGGTGTTACTCGAGTATCTTTATCATGGGAAAAGCGAAGCTACGGGGGAGAAGGTGAAACAGCGGAAAACTGCACCAAACTAAACACCCGCTTGTTCCCGGTATCATCCAAGCACATAGATACACCGCGAACATAGCATCAGCTAGGAAATGACATTTATCGCCTCTATTTCCCATCTTTCCTTCCTTCTTTTCCAGAACTAGTGCCATACAATAGGGCATACTCACCCTACTGCCCTGAGGATGCTACATGTACTCGAGTAGAAGGCCGTGGTCGGAGCCCGATTTAAGGTACCACGCGGTACAAGACAAGCTTGCCATATAATACGTATCGCACAATCCTCTCGTACCGTAAGCAGCACGATCGTTTCCACGGACAAAAAAAAACAGGCCGGGCGGCAGGTAGAGTCCTTTCTGCTACAGGTACACAGTCTTCGCGAAAATAGGTACATACAATCTCATTTTTGCTCCACTGCTCCTGCCCATACATGCACACTCACTCGCCCACTCTCACCACCGCCACCCTTTTGCCCCAACGAGTAAAAGCACTTCCCCCACCCAACTCCAAACAAAGCTTTTCCGATCAACTAAACAAATCAACAAACCACAATGCCAGCCAAATATACCAAGTAAAAACCGAATGAAAAACATGAGAAATCGAGGGGACCAAGGTAAAAGTGAAATGAGAGAAAGCAACTGTTAAAACAACTTCTTCCCTTTCATCTCCTCGAACGCCATCCTCATGCCCAGACTCATCCTTTCAGGCCTTACATCCTGCGGCACAGCCACACTTCCGCTTCTCCTCCGGTTGATGGAGGTTCCGGCCGCGGTTTGGAAGCTGCTAGCGTCCGGGTCTAGACCTGTCCTGCCATCTACACCACCGACGACGCTTTCTAGTTCGTCATCGAATGTTGACGCAGCAACTTCAGCTGCGTGTGCGGTTCTGTAAGGAGATGTTGTTGGGAGGATGGGTGCGGAAGGGAAGGGTGAGGTTAGGCGGTACGAGGATACTAAATCGCCCTTGGCGGTGGTGGCGGGGGCCGGCTCACTGGCTGGCACGTCCGCCAGGATGTCTGCGGACGAGACTTGTTTTATGGATTCTGTGTTCGGGTTTAGTACCGGCTCCGTGGCCAACGATGGCAGGACTGGTGAGGGGCGGCCGGAGAGTGGGGTTTCATCAGGGACCTCTGGAATGGCTGTTGGGCTGCCGTAGTTGGGCAGTGGGGTGGGAGATTTGGATGATGCGGAACCGGAAAGGGGTGCAAGGGGGCTGTTCCTGGCGATTGCCATGGGGAGGCTGGCAGCGTTGGGACTTTGGCCAAAGAGTCCGGGAGAGGGTTCATCTTCTTCAGGTATGTTCGGGCGGGGTTTCCCCCCGGGTGCATCGTCTTCGTCCGGAACGTCGTATTTGGCGATGCTTCGCCTGCGGAAGCGGCCGCCGGGGGTGGGTACGAATGAGTCTTTGCCCGAGGCCTCTCCCCAGCCAATGTTTGGCAATGACGAGGCGATAGGTGAAGTGTAAGGCTCTTGTCCAATCCGGACGCGAGAGGTTATGGGTTCCAATGAGAGTGATGGGTTGAAAGAGGCACTTATGCCTCCCCGCACCGCTGTGAATCCACTCCGCATTCCAAGGCTTTTCTCAAATGTGAGTGATGGGTCCACTTGAGGAGCTGGGACGGAAGAAGGGACAGGCGTGAATGACGGCAGTGGGGGGAACGATTGGCCAGAGAAGGGCGAACGCTGAAATGGGGGTTTAGTGGTATTAAGGAGAGCGGAATAGTCCCGATGGGGTGGTGATTCCTTTCGTTCCGCCGCTGTCTCGTCCATCTCAAATAAATCACCGTCACTGTCATCGCCATCCGGGGTTTCCATGTCAAGCCCCTCTCCCAGATCTCCGTTTACCCCCTTAGCCCCATTCCTGCTCGCTTCGTCCCCAAACTGTACCTCCTCAAATGAGTCATCGTCAACCGAAGGCTTAGACCCTGTGAATGGCTCGGAGAGGGCTGTAGGAACCACCGACTCGACCCCTCGCGTCATCTCTGAGCTGGCCAACTTTGCGGCATGCCCAATCTGTTCGACTTTTCCAGACTCACCAGGCCCCTCTTGCCCTGCTTCCACCGCTTCTTTGTCACCGGTAGATCCAAACTCGTCATCGTCTACCAGGCCGCATTCGCTGTCCATGCCATCCTCCAAACTCCAGCGCACCTTGGCTGGTGGGGGACTGCTGCGCGACGGAACAGAACTCTCGTCCTCAAATTGAAAAGTAACCCTTTTTGGAGATTTCTGTTTCATTCCGGCAGATTTGCCTGTGGTGCCAAACGAGCTGCCCGAGGACGATTTGAGGGAGGAAGCAAGAGGTGCGGCCGGAGATCCCGGACTGTTACCCGAGCGACCTGGAATAGTGGCAATCTTTGGTAGAGTAGGTTTCGGTGACAGCGGGGGGCTCGACATGATTTTGTTAGGAGGAGGCGATGGCGGGCTCTGGTAGTCTTTGTCCAGCAGGGGAAGGTATCGAGGGGTGAAGGCAGCCTGGAGGTCTTTATCGAAAGGCGGAGAGTTGCTCTCGCTGCTTCCGGGTTGCTGCGCAGGCAGCGAAGCAGTCAACTCCGATCTCAGCGCGTCATCGTGCTTTGATTCACCAACGTCAGGCGAGACCCGACCCCCGCATCCCACTTCTGACCAGGTGGAGCATAAATTACCATTCTCACGTTCGGGTGCAGCCGTATTTGCGACTGTTGCATACGGCGGGGATGCGTCTGTAGTAGTAACATTGTTGTCATTGCTGAGCTGTAGGCCGTTGTCGACGCTTGCTGCTTCTCGCTTTCGCTTCCTCAGCTTATGCTCCTCCCTCAACTTCCGCTCGAACGCCTTGTACTCGCTTTCCTTCGAAGCCCTGAACGCCTCCATCTCCGCATCCAACTCTTTCCGTCGTTGTTGTAACAGCTGTAGCAGGTCTGACTCATCGAGTTCCATGTCAATACCAGACAGAGGCGATAGAGGCGAAGATGACATGATGTCTGTCAACACACGGTACCCACCGGATGTTGTCGATTTGGTGACGGGCCTCGTGGGATCTGAGTTTGTGGGCGGGGTTACCGGAGCTGGGGCGGTGTCGACGGGGAATTGATCCGAGGATGGAGGGGACATACTATCTTGCAGAATGTAGAATATTCCCGTAATTTGGGCGGTGCCTGCGAGGGTCAGAAGAATGGATGTGCACCGATACACTCGAATTGTATTTGTTGTCGGTACAGTACGGTACCAGCAGTGTCAATGTGGAGAAAGGCTGCGTCAACGCCTTGGTAGCGGATCTCAGCCCGATAGCCTCACTTCTGAAAAAAGGCCGGCGTTAGATGCCGTCAATCCAAGGCAGGGAATTTCAATTGATCGAGGCGCCTCGTACCCGAGCACACCGGCAAACTTCGAAAGCGTTGACCGAGGATGGGAGAAGGAAGGGGTTGTTGGCGGGATGAGGGTGGGGAACCTTTGCAGAGCCTTAGGCAAGGTGGAGATGGAGATATCACAAGCGATTGTGCGGCGCGTCTCTCGTCCGGAACCTAAGACCAGTGCCTTTGACCACCAATCCCCTAGATTATCTTGTAAGATTATATCATAAGAAAAAAGGGTTGCCGTGCCCGGCAGCCAGATGTGGAAGAAGGGGATGAAGGTGTCTTGAAGCCGATTTTTGCAGAGTCGTGATTCGAGAGAGAATTATTCTGCACTTATGCCATACTGTATCCTCTTCTCTTTTTTGTAATTCCGGCTATACTATATCCTAATGATAGAAATTCACGTAACTCGTCCAGCGATGTATCATGCTGCAGCCACAATGACCTTGTAAATTTAAGGTTAGTTCTGATAAAGCAATTCCGCATGCTGTACAGTACCGTATGGTAGAATCCAGTACCCTAGCGAGGCCAACATCCATCCGTTCCCGCTCAGATCCGCCCTATCTGCCATGTCAAGTGCCCTCATGCTCGTCGCGGGATTCTATAAACCCTTCCACACAGGGTTATCAGCATATTTCACCCCGGTCACTTCGAGGATTCTTATCATGGTGTGAGGGGGGGAGTCAGAGGCTCTGGTCGATGAATGAGTCTGGGCGTCTGAAGCGCTACCAGAGCCCGGCTATTCGACCCATGTGGACCTGTATGTCCGTGCCAAAAAACTCTTCTGAGGGCCCAACGAATCACAAAATACCGGTATGTAAAGCAAGCGTTTTTGCTCGTATTACATCATCGCACATTCAGCATCGGTGAGGAGGTCCAAGGAGCTTGGCTCGAGGACTGTGAAGTATTCTCTCAGCTTGGTGTAGGATTTCAAGAGATACCAATGCAGCATCCGACCTTTCACTCACTCACTCAGTGGGGATTCCATTGGGCCATCGGGTATCCGTATCGTAGCTTTTATGCACTCTGGCGGTGGGGTTAGTATCGGAACGAACGTGCCAAATTGGCGGTTTCCCATTTATGAGGCGACAAATATTCAGGAATTAACTAAAGACCATTTGCCATGGGCCTGCCATAAGGATAGTATTAGGGGATGAAAAGCCGAGAGATTGGTTGTATAAAAGCTTGCATCGGTGTCCAAGTACAAGTACGGTATAGAGAGAATCCTTATGTTATGATAATCGATCTGTTATACCGTATTCGAAGCATAGTCACATGTTTTCGAACTTGGCCTCTTCCCTAAACGTATCACTGAGCACCAGATGGACAAAGGCCTTTGGCGCCCTGGTAGCCTCGAGGAGTGATCAAAAATGCGGACTTGCGGACTTGCGGCACCAAGGGGGATTCGGAGACGTTCTGAGACCGGTATCCATCCAGATTGCTAGCGGAACGTTCTTATCCAGTGCTGATCCGATAGCCAGGGCTCCCGCCTACTGATAACTAGCTTTTGAGCTTGCTGTCCTAGTTTCGGCTGGACACAGAGGGCACAAGTACAAGTATGATGCGGGTGTTAACGATTAGCGATTACTTATCAAGTTATGGAAGATGGCACCGTACTGTACAATAAAAAGTGCCCACATAATATTCTATTATTGTGATGTATCATACGCTATTTATCACTAGATACCGTTATGCCGTACCACATCTGGATCCGTGTCGAATGCGCAGATGGTTTTAAGGGGCTTTGCATTCTGGCCGCTGCGGCACCGTATAAGCTTTTTCTCCTCCGACGCAGATAGATTGATAGTAGGCAACCTAATTAGATTGGTCTGCCTTCGGTATCCAGCCTATTATTTAGCGATCTGGTATTGCTCAATACAGCGCATAGTTCAGGGTATAATACCAGCACGACATATGGTATCGATTTTCCTTCTCAAAGTAGATAGTCTCGGAGTCCGTCTCCCACTACTGTAAGGTATCATATTATGTGCTGTGGGTACCGTATGATTGAAATCTATCCAGCCGGGGCGGGGCCTACCGGTATTAACCTTGCCAAGGTTTTAGTTCTGGTTGTGTACTGTACGAGTACAATCACAACGTCGCGCCCCGCTCGGGCTGAACAACGCTGCGAGGGAGGGAGGCTCATGATATGACGAAAAACCAGGAAGGGCTATTCCTGCTCTGAAGAGAAGCTTTGTCTTAGCAAATATTTGTAATATCAACACCTTTAGCCGCCTATTTAGTGCTCGCCGTATGGGCATGTTCTTGGTTCTCATCCTCAGTGTACTCGTAGAGAAGGAATGGGCGAATAGTGGCTTGTACTGGGAAACCTGAGTGGTATACAGTATTCTGCCATAGAATATTGGCTTACCTCTCCCTCTATCATTCTTCCCGATTGTTCAGGATCCCCTCACTCTGCCTCTTTTATATTCTTTATTTCTGGCTCCACGTATTTCCCTCTTTTGGTATGGTTTTTCCGGCAGCCACTCTAGCATCTAGTTGGGCAGGCTAACCTTCTAAAGGGATCATGGGCAGGTTTTCCGAGTATGTCATACGAATCCGAAAATATCCTCTTCTAGTTGAATAGGTGGAATTCTATGAGGACTCAGATTTTGTACAGCTCAGCGAGCTATCTGGTTGTGTGCGATCAGGGATGGAGGTACGACAGCACAGGACTCGTATAGTCTAGTCTAGTACTTGAGTCTATTAGCAGAACTTCCACGAGGCATCTCGCAATACTTTTGGTAGTTTGTGTGTTTAGCAAGTGGGTAGAATCTAATTATTTTGCCAAAGTTGGCGAGGGAACGTTGGGTAGTCTGGGTGAGTCGCGCTTCCGGGGGGAATACGGTAGCGAATCGTGGAAGAGAACTTTCGTTCGTTCGTTCGTTCGTTGGTTCGTACGCACATCCGCGCGCGATGCAACAGGCGCACAATTATACTCGAAGGTTGATCCACCGGGGAGAAAATTCATTATAAACTTGATTAAAATCTAGACTATAATGCTTTGATACGCACATAATCTATCTCTTATGCTAATCAAATTCGATAGCCTTTAGAAGTAGTAATAATTTATGCATCATCAAAGGTTTCGTAACGGATCCCGTTCTTGTCCTCACTTTACCGCCTACTATCATTGCTGCCGTCAAGTATAAATCGATTGCGACTTAGGAAAAGAATTAACGAGCCCAGTACAGAAAAGAACAGGAGAAAAACAGCAAAAAAAAATCAAATCAAGCGGGCCAATAGAGAGCCAGTAGAATCCCCCAGGGGGTCCCCAACACACAGACCTCAATGATAACTGCCTGTATGGTTCACGACATCAGATCAATTTGCGCTCCCTCCTCCGCCCCCATGTTTTCTTCTGGCAATCAACTTGCTCCTCCCGAGTTTCAATGGGATCTAGGTAGGTATGGTTCTCGGAATCCGAGCTTGCTTGGAGTCCTAAATAATGATTATTAGATACTGAGATATTCCAGATATGAGAATGAGTGAATATAAAAATACAAGTGGAATTCTGAGCTTCTTTAACCTCGTTAGTACCAGAGGGGAATAAGAAACATACCATTTGCAGAATGAGTATTATCTTGAACCCAATCGGCAACAGAACTTTGATCACCACCATCTGCGGAGGGGTGAGCTGCCTGATTGCTAGTAAAAGTCTGGTGCTGATCGGTAGGTGCAGGAGGGTTGAGGTTTAAAGTATTGGACGATTGGGAGTTAGATGAAGCTTTTATATCCGAGTTTGCAGACATGATTATTGGATAAGACCCGAATATTGAGGTTATAGACTCGGACTTCTTGAAATAATCGAGAATCCAATATAAATATACCTCTGAGGTTGAATTACCGGCAACGTGAGGGACTAATACAGCATATGGTTAGAGAGATTACGCAGGTAGACCAGTCAATAAAACGGAATCATTTAAGGCTAAACTTACTAAATCAGACAAAAATTGTCAAGTAATCAAATCTCGCTTTTTAGAATCCAACTATTGAACTCTAATAGAGTTTGTAGACCAGTTAACTCTTCAGAATTTGAGAAGGAGAGTATAGCTTGACTATTGTTTGCAATAAAAGCTAGTAACTTGAGGAAAGTAGTGCTATGACAGCCTCCTATTTATCTAAAATACTATAGTAATCTCTTCTAACAGTTGATATATGATAATGCTTAAAAAGCGCTATTAGAAATAGTTCTGACTATAATACTAACACAACCCAAGAACAAGTCTGATATCACAACTTTTTTCAAGTACTACATCTAAATATAAAAACTGTATTTTAAAATAAGACTGATCAGTATTTCAGGCTTCTTGCAGGATGCCTAAAGGGTAAGAAGTGGTGAATTTCGCTAACTCAATACTTTGATTGGTTCATAGCAGCAGGCCTTAACATCCTAGCAGCATAAGAAGTGTTGTCTTAACTTGACTCATAGATACAACAAGGTAACTAATTGTAGTATCTCCGCAAATTCCGATACTATATCCGCAAATTCCGATACTATATCCACAAATTCCGATACTATCTCCGCAAATTCCGATACTATATCTGCAAATTCCGATACTATATCCGCAAATTCCGATACTATCTCCGCAAATTCCGATACTATATCCGCAAATTCTGATACTATCTCCGCAAATTCCGATACTATATCCTCAAATTCTGATACTATCTCCGCAAATTCCGATACTATATCCGCAAATTCCGATACTATCTCCGCAAATTCCAATACTATATCCTCAAATTCTGATACTATCTCCGCAAATTCTGATACTATATCCGCAAATTCCGATACTATCTCCACAAATTCCGATACTATCTCCACAAATTCCGATACTATCTCCACAAATTCCAATACTATCTCCGCAAATTCTAATACTATCTCTGCAAATTCTGATACTATCTCCACAAATTCTGATACTATCTCTACATATTCTGATACTATATCTACAAAGTCTGATACTATCTCTATAAATTCCAATACTATCTCCATAAATTCTAATACTATATCCAGAAATTTCAATACTATCTTTACAAATTCTAATACCATCTCTGTAAATTCCAATACTTTATCTATAAATTCTGATACTATCTCTGTAAATTCTAATACAATCTCTAATAATTCTGACACTATATCTGCTAATTCTAATACTATATTTACAACTTCTAATACTATCTCCATAAATTCTAATACTATCTCTACAAGTTCTAATACTATATCCACAAATTCCGATACTATCTCTATAAGTTCCAGTACTATCTCTGCAGATTCTAATGCTATTTCTACACGTTCTGGTACTATCTTTATAATTTCTAATGCCTCTCCTGCAACTTCCAATTCTGTATTTGAAAAATTTAGTACTAACTCCGAAAACCCCGGCACTAGTAGTATCTCTAGAAGTTCTATCACCACTTTTTAAAAATCTGATCCTATTTCTTAAAAGTTTAATACTTATTTTATAACAAAATCTGCTTACTGCTACTATTATAACTATCTTAAAAGTAGCTGCTACCTATTTAGATTATACTTATTTAGTCTATTAGTTCAGAGTTCTAGTATATTGGACAGAATACCCTATTATATTTTCTAGCTACAATGTCTATTCTTGGAAACCACTTACTGACACATCTTTCTCTACCTTATAGTAGTTCCTGAATGTATATAGGTAAGAGTCTTTGATTATTGTTAGTTTTTTTATATTTTTCATACTGGGTACAGACAACTAGCAGAGTTCAATTGATAATATTTCGAATAGACTTTAAGTTGGTTAAATTAAATTGGGAGAAAGGATACTTATAAACAAACAAGTATGATAAGAAATAATAATAGCAAATAGTTTACTAATTGAATATATTATTGTGGGAACAATAAATTAGCAAATCTGCAACTCCGATTATCCCACTTTTGTATACCTCTACAGCCGTCCTAAAACTCCTTACCAAATCTAGCGCTTCAGGTATCTATACACGTTTAGGCCCAATGTTAAAGAACAGACATCAAATATTTCATACGAAATCTGGCCCTTGTGGGGGTTTAGGACGTATCATACCGTAAGAACTAGAATAACCGGACCATGTGCTATGTAGTCCAGAATTTCGTCCACTTGGATAGGGGGGGGCGGGGAGCGCTTTAAAAGGTCTCCCCCCAAGACAACTAAAGAAAGAAAAAGCACCAGACCTTACTAGGAGAGGCATGCCCACCATCCCATCACTTAATCTGCTTTTCGAGTTCTCTTACAGTAGCCTGGAGGAAGCGGGTGTACTTGGAAAGCATCAGGAGTCGGGTTTCTTTACTAGGTGGCTTTTCAAAGGTTACCCGGTCTCACTAACCCCACGAAAACCCCCGCAGTCTCAAAATCCCAACGTTTGACTTTTCCTTGTTGAATTTGGTGTCAATGACAACAATGGCGCTCATTACTCTAACCGGGTTCCTGGAACGGGCCCAGAAAGCCCCGATTTCTGAAGCCCTATTGAAGGAGATTCGTACTACCTTGATTCGGAAGACCAAGGCTAATACTCCAAGCGGGGCCGAAAACGAGAGGTATTGTCTTTTATCTGCTGTCTGCTCCTGCCCAATAGCTGAGTTTACCTAGTGAGGATTTAGGCTCGCTCTTTAATCTCATCCTCCAGACTGCGGAAATTCCTAGCCTGCGCCAGCAACACCGTGCACTTGCATCCGATACCATCTCCACATGGCTGATTCGATCGGCCAGCTCAACTCCCCTGCGAGAAGCGGTGGAGGAGAGCGTCGAGGTCTGGAATTCACTTGCCAATGTTGTGTTTACTTACTTTGATGAGGCTGCCAGTGCATTATCCAAAGCTCTCAAAGACCTTCTTGGGAATATTCTCTCATCTCATTCGGATCCAGAATTTAAGCGGTGTCTAGCGGAGAGTGCACTCGCATCACGGGGTAAGAAGGTTGGGTATTATGTATTCGAAGTGCTCATCAGAAGAGGAGTAGGGGTAGAATGGGTTTTCACTAAACATGGCTCAATTGTGGGAGAAATGTTGATGGCATTGAGAGATCGGACGCTCTCCCCAGTCATCGGGAAAGCCGTGGTTGGGCTACTGGCCGCAAGAAAGACTGAACTGAACGACTTACACGACTGGATAGAGTGCTGGGAAGACCCGCTGAGCACCGCCTTAAGATCTGAGGAAGTACGGGGGAATGTGCAAGTCTACGCCCTACCAGGGCTCTTCCGGCTATCACCGGAGTGCTTTGTGAAATTTGTCCGGGGGGTATGGCTCGGAATACGTAACCGAGGAAATTCGAATAGTGGGGATGAGGTGGATTTGATGAGTCTTCTTTGCTGTCTCAAAGTTGGGCGGGATCTGGGATTTGTGGATGAAATAAGTACGACAAATCTAATGCCACCTTACCTGCAATTACCCGACTGATTGTGACTTTGCAGGTGATGCAGACAATGCGGATAGTAGTGACTATTTAAACTCCATTCCTATACAGCTTCCTTCCTCATTTGTTTCGCCACTCCTCTCACACGCACATGAGCATATCCGTCTCGCTGCGCTCACTTTAACAACATACTCTCCAACTCTCACAAAGCCCCTTCCGGCTTCCGCCTTCCGTGTATTGAAGTCAGCGCTCCCGCCGCTACACGCAGAAACCGACGCAGAGGTAAGAGATCTGGTAATCGGGAGTATAAGGCAATTTGTAGAGCGTCTGGGTAGTAGCTCCTATGCCCTCGACAAAGACCTACAAGGGCTTCATAAAAGCGCCCTTCGCCTGCCCAAGGACCACACTACCCTCTCGAGAATTCCAGGACTGAAAGAAGGCATTTCAGAAGCAGCTTCTTTTATGAACTGGTATTTGAACTTTCTGAAGACTCAATTAGCCCCTGGGGCGAATTATCAGCGCGTTGTGACAGCGCTGAGAGTTCTAATAATTGTTATCCGTTCGGGAGTTGATCCATCATTGGTGGGTCCCGATGACAAACCTGGTAAGAGGAAAGGGCTGCTACACTGGCCTCCAAGTGTTCGGGTGGATTTGTTTGACAACGGGATGAAGAGGGTATTGATCGATTGTTTATTCAACCCTTTTGACGACGTAAGAACCATAGCTACAGAAGTATTGAAGTTCGCTCCTGACTGTGGCGGGTCACTTCGGATAATTCTGGAGAGGGGGCTCAGAGGGATGAATACCTCAGGAAGAGCTAGAGATGCGGATGGCGTTGCTAGATGTATCGACCTATGGTTTCATTTTGCGGTGAAACAATCCCCGGAAGCGAAGTTTGGGGAACTTTGGGGCTTGGACGTTGCCACTCAAACTGACCAACTCCGAGTGGTTGACTGGGTACTACATCTGTTGGGCCTGGATTACCTCAAAGTTGCCCGAGAGGACTTCCGGAGGGCTGTTCGAGAGAGGCCTATTTATGGCCTTTTGTCTGGACTCAGACTCATATTCGAGGGGCGAGAGATTTACGAGGGTGCTTTCAAAGGCCCTGCAGGGGAGCTAATCATTTCTCAGATCCTTGAAGATTGCATGGATATCTGGCGGATGTCTAAGGACATTTTGTGCTTTGTTAGCCCCGAGGGATATGTGCCCCAGGAGATTATAGACGAGGAAGCGGAAGAGGATGATGATGAAATGGACACACAAACTGTCATGAGTTATTGTTGGAGAGCGGTCAAAGAATCTAGGTAAGCAGTCATTTTCTAATTCATGTGAAGTCACTCGTCTTTCAAATTGTTAATATCATCTACAGTGCACTCTTAGGCGCAATTACTAGAACTGCGGATTTTGACTCGGGCCCTCAGTCACTGCTATCCAAACAGAATTTCTCTGACATCGGAAATACCCTATTAGAACAACTATTAGACATCCGTCATCGCGGCGCTTTCTCCTCGGTGTCTCCTAGTTTTATAGAGCTCTGCTCCCGGTGCTTAGCCACCGATGCCCTTTCCGATTTACCTGAGCAATGGCTATCTAAAAGCATTCTTCAAATAATCGATAAATCTAACTCGATCACCCGGCGTTCCGCCGGCCTCCCCTCCCTAATAGTTGGAATCGTAATTGCGGACCCACGCCCAGACCGTCCACTGCTCAGGTCAACCTTTGAAAAATTGGAGGAATTCGCGCGGTTGCCCGCCGTCCTCTCGACAGAGGGATCGAAGGTTAACCTTCCACAAGTCCACGCACTTAACTGCTTGAAAGTCATGTTTGTGGATTCCCGTTTATCATCTGCCTCGCAGGAATTCTTGGGGAGAGGACTAGAATTATCTGTAGGCTGTTTCGCAAGCGAAGTGTGGGCTATCCGAAATTGTGGTATCATGTTATTCACCGCGCTAGTGAATAGGCTTTTCGGCAAGAGAATGACGGGAACCCTAGAAATTAGAGACTTTCACCAGCGCTATCCCGAAGTGGCGGCGGTTCTTTTGCGAAGCTTAAACGGAGAATCAGGCGTTGAAAGCGTCGAACAGCTTTATCCAGCACTATCACTCATTGCTAGGCTAGGGCCAAGCGATGGGTTTGATGTAGGTGGTATTGAACCAGCGGTGATGAGATGTTTGAGTAGCCGATTTTGGAAAATTAGAGAGATGGCTGCGAGAAGCTATTCGACCCTTGTTAGTGCTGGGCATGTGATAGAGGTTATTGATCAACTGCTTCAAGATGCAGAGAAAAGCCGGAAACAGAACTTTGTCCACGGCCGGCTTTGTGCCATTAAAGCATTGCTAGATAGAAGAGGGGCTAACACTCATGAAGGGATTTTGGGGATCCTTGCAAGGCACTGGGAAATTCTGGCACAGTCAAATGACTGTGCGGCAACCAAAGCCTCATTTTTGTCCCTCCTTAACAATAATAACATTCGACGATTGGTAAAGACACGCCCGAATGGTGGTGCGTGAACGACTCCGTCCCTTACAAAGCTAGACTAACGCAAAAGCAACAGAAGCCCAAAATCTTCTCAGCAATCTACTGAATTATTGCAAGACCTCGCAGGAGGTTCTACAGGAAGTTGGGCGAGCATCCATGGTTGGCCGCTCAATGTTAAAAGAGGAGTTAGCCAAACATATACACAACTTAGCATCTCACTCGGGCGATCTTATACCCGTCCTTATCGACACCATATCCGGCGAGGATGAAGAGCTCGCTTTATATACTACCTCTCACCTTTTCTCTTCCCCTCTAAATTTCGATCAGGATACTCTTACCTCACTTGATGCCAGCCTATGGACAGTAATTAAAATACATCCATGGGATCAACTACGCACCACAGCCGTAAACCTCATATCAGGATACCCCCCGCCGCAGGGAACCCCCGAAGCGCTTATCCAAGAGCGCTGCAGGACCCTCTTGACCCTCTGTACTAGCGCATCTACTGAGCCATGTCGTATCGCAGCCCTCCCGGCAGCAGCAACGTTAACCGCCCACCTATCTCACCCAACCGCATCACTCCTCAGAGATATCGCCAAACAAGCAGAGCTATCAGGCCACGAGGATAACCCCTTCCCAACCCGCAAGGCCGCTGTCTCTGCTGTGAAGGCCTTATCTCCACTTCTAAGATTTGAAACCTTCAACAATGCCTACTTCTGCCTCTACAACTTCCTCCATGACGACGACGAGGACATCCGTGAGGAAGCTGCAATGATCGTCAAGTCCGTCACAAAAGGAGAACACGCCCTTCTTCCCCTCGCAGCCGCAGACATCCTCCTTAAACGAATGGTGGAATCATTCGGCGAAGATGAAGAATTTGTTAGAGAGGTCGTTTCGAGAGTTGTTGTCAATGGTGGCGTCAAAGACCAACTGAAGGAGGCCTGCACGGGCAATAGAATACTCTTTGCCAGAGAGAAGCAGAATCTATTTTTGGATATTCACGGTGAGGTAGTGCGCTGGGCAGCGGTGCTGGGGGGGCTGCCGGTAAATAGTCAATTTATCGAGGATACCTTGAACGCGCTTGCTGCAGTTCGGGAGTTTGCCAAGGAGATGGGGGAGGAGGGGCCTGCCGGGTGGTTGCGTGAGGAAGAGGCCTGGGTGGTGTTTGGGCAGGTTGTAGAGGGACTTGGCGTTATTAAGAGGTGGAAGGGTGATTGTGGGATCGAGGCCAGGGAGTTTCTAGTGGAGATGAAGGACCTCCAGGCTCATGAGCTCTTTGTGGAGAGATTGGCGGAGGTGTTGGCCGTATGATGTTGGCTGTATGATAGTTGGGTGTAGAGTGTCCCGAAGCCATATTGAGCGTGTTCTCATGGCCCATCCCACGGCAAGTGAGTCCCGATCTTGGTACCAACACTTTTAAAAACTAAAGGCTACAAATGCGGTCACTGTAAAACTAGATCTATACAAAATCACTCACGTGCAACGCTTATGGCTTCATAGACAGCGAATAATAGAAACCCCATTATCACACAAGTATCGCCTAGAAACAAAATCCCAGACTCTACAAACCTCTGCCCTAAAACAAGCAATACAAAAGCCCCAACATCCCGCAAACAAAGCCTATGCACAACTCCCCGGATCAGGAGCACGCCCATCCAAAAACTCCAACAGAGAAAGCTGATAAAGCGATGTCAGAATATTTGCACACCCCAATAGCATATAATCACGAATTTCACTCTGTACTGTAATAATGGCAAGATGGCCGAGTTGGTTATGGCGCCAGGTTAAGGTTATCTTAACACGCATCCTGGTTCGGGAAACTGAGCGTGGGTTCAAGTCCCACTCTTGTCACATCTTTTCTTTTTCGTATTGTACCATCCCTTCACAGTGCTAGTTTTCATTTTTCGGGAACTTTTGCTTTTTTTCCCCCGCCTCACTTTTTCTTTGGTAGGTGGTTTAGTTATTGCCCTACCACCCGAGTACTAGGGATGGAGGAAGGACAGATATCGGTAGTTGAAGCCCGTGGGGTGGAGGTGTGGAGAGGAGGATATTTTACTTGGACAATGTTGTACGAGTACTGTATGTATCAACCCTTCTTGGAGATGATTTTCGAACACTCGCTTCTTAGCATAAGTTACGTATTACAGTACTGTACTACCCGTAGTACAGTACGGTACTCGAGCACAGTATACAGGTAGATCACAGCACCAGACATCACATTCAACCAAATACTAGAAAACACCCCCTCCCCTTCTCCAAAACTCCGTAATGAGATACATTATATCCAGATACCGGCAAGTGGCACTTGAGCCATTGAGATGTGCTGGACAGACCAACTTTCACTATACCGGTAAAGAATACGAACGAGTGCGAAGGTGCAAATTGGATAGAATAGAGAAAACATGTTCAGCAAAGGATACGAGGACAAGCCGGAGAGCAGAGCGCCCGAAAGATATCAGAGCTGTGGTGAAATTTGTTAGTTTGTTTGTTCGACGAACATCGGTATCCAATGGGGAAATCACATCACCTCCTCTCACTCGGGTAGTGTATAGGGGTTGAGATGATGGCCTGTTCGGTTGCAAGTCGTATTTGAAAATGGCATTCTTAGTTAGAAGCGAAAATCACATTTTTCCAAGGGAATTAGCAGAAGTCGGATTCTTGTATTCTCGGGCGTTCAGCAAGAGTTGGGGGGTTTTTTTTTGGTTTTTTTTTCTTCTCACTCTGGCTGTTGATGATATGAGGTGTATGGTCAAAGGAGGGTCCAAAAATTCTCCCCCTCACTCTTTTTGCTTGTGGCGCTTTTGACATTGAAATGGCATTTTTAGAAATCAAAACATTTGACCACTGAACACAACTACTATTTCTAAGATTTCATTTGTGGTAAAAGTGGAGTTTGACTTCTAAATACCCCATATCTCGTTGCAACCGAACAGGCCCTAATTCAATATATTGTCGCATGAATGTGGTTGAGGCTTTCCTTGTGTCTGTCTTGCACAGTGCCGAAGTAGGAAATTTTGCTCTTAACGAGATATCTGAGTTAAGTTAGGGATGTTCGGCACTCTCGTGAGGTGCAGGCTAACGTCGACTGCGCACCCGATACAACGAAAGGAAATCGTCTAATGGAGTATCTCGTAATCCTCTATCATACAATCCGTGAGAACCGTCACGCGCCCGAGCAGACAAGCACGCGAGTGACAAGCAAGGAGGGGTGTAAAAGTGAAAGAAAAACAAAAAAACGGCCATTAAAAATGCACAATTGTACAAAACACCTTTCGAAAGAGTATATTCTGGTACCTACACCTCCGCCTCTGCTCACTCCTTCTGTTCCGCTCCCTCATGCCTCACCGCCCCGCAAAATGTATGCCAAGGCACTCCCCCCTCCCTAAAGCAATGCATTGTAGAAGAGGGAATAATAATAATAAACACCTGTACTAGGACGCACAACACGAGAGGACAAGAAAAGAATCCTACATGAACCCTTCAAGTTCCCTCGCCTCCTCCATTCTCGGCGCCTCCTTTCTCCTTGCCTCCTAGCGTCAGCCTAAAATCCAAGGAGGCCTCTATCCGCCAAACAAAAGAAAATCCAATTTGAAGAGAAAGTAACCCCACACCAGAGAACCATGATAAGTCTGAGTGAGAGCACACGCAAAAAAAGAAAAAGTGCTAGAAGGCAAATTTCAAATGCGGGTTTATGGAAAAAGAGGAAGTAAAGGGTAGAAGAATAGTAAAATGGAAAGAAAACCAGGCTGGTCAAGTAGTGTATGCTAAATGAAGCGAAGTGAAACGTTTCGGACGTCTTGCAGTCCTTTGGTTTGTTAAGAGGAAGGGCTCAAACGGAGAACTAAAAACTAAACGGTAGTATAAAATATAGCGGTAAAAAAGATAATTCGTGAATGGACAACTTTGTGGGGAAAAGAAGGCAGGCAGGTAGGTAGTGATCTGGATGGATAGGCAATCAAGGTGGGCAAGATATCATAGACATGGGGGAAGCCGTGGGAATATTTATGCTTCGCCCACACCACTCAACTTCCTGCCCAACCGTCGGCGGGTTTCCTCGTCGGCACTGTTACTACTGATTCTTCGCCCCCCAAAACTTCGTCTGGGCAAGCCACTAGCGGGTAGTGGTATGCCACTTTCTCCCTTGGAAGCAGTGTTTCTGCGGATAGCGGGAGCTGGGAACGTGTCATCTGTGCTAGATGCCACACTTCCGATGCTCGTTCGATCACGCAAGTTGATAGTAGTCATTCCAAACTCAGAATGCGTTTCCATGGGTGTTACCCTTCCTGAAAGACTAGCACGACTGCTCGGTCTTGGTGGTTGCGGCAGCTGAGATCCTAGTGATGAGCGCGAGGTAGCGCCCGAGGCGCGGCTCGATGGACGAGATGTCGCACGCGAGCTTGGTCGCTCGCCAAAGGATAAGCGGGTGCTGTGGGGGTACACGGTGTCTCTGTCGCTGCCGCCAGAAGTAATGGAGGAGGCGGTGGAGGAGGTTCGGTGCTTCTTTTGCGACCTCATGGTAATTGTTGGTGGGATAAAAATCCCCTGGCCGTGAGGAGATATCCGAGGAGGTGTGTTGACAGGTCCTGGTAATTTGCTGCGGGCATGCTGAACTCGTTGCTCTAGCCTTTGCATCTGTCCTATCAGTCCACGGATGTGGTGAAGTGACTTCGAAGATGGGATGGGCATCCCCATGCCGGGCCCCTGAGATCCAAATGATGGAGCTCGTGAGTGGGCAGGCCTCTGACGATACTTGGGTCGGGGAGTCAGAGCTGGGTCCTCCCTTGCCCGAGAAGGTTGGGAAGGAGTTGTCGACACCTCGGATATCGGGGGAGATGGGGGAGTCGGTGAGTGATCTGATTGGGGAGTGGATGTAGATGCTGCGGACGGTGTTGTAGGAGTACTCGGTGGTCGAGAAGCCACCGAAGATGTTTCCGATAGCGTTGACTGGAACTTCGCCGGTGGCGGAACATGATGCAGACTTCCATTACCATACTTTGCTGCCATAGCCATAGCATTATTTAGCTTGTCCACGGTAATGTCCTGCTCCACCTTCAGATCCGATAGCTCGTCTCTCAGTCGCTGGCATTCGATCCTTAACCCCTCCCGCTCCTGCTCCCCGATCTTGATCTCCTCCTCAAGCAGTACCCCCCTCTCAATAGCCTGGTTATATTTCGACTCCAAATCCTCCAAGGAGGACTTGACTATGCGCTCCTGTCGTTCAAAGTCATCATTAGAGACCTCGATGTCCCGTAACCGGAGCGAGATTTGTCGGTTAGTTTCGCGAAGATTGGTGATTTCCTTCTGGAGGATGTTTTGGGCGCTATTAGCCTCGGTCTTGGACTGTTTGTATTTATTCTAGCAAGTGTTAGTAGATACGCTTATAGAGAACCATCATTTCCTTCGAGATGGGAGCCAGGGCTAGAGAATGAGACAGAGGCTCCAAACATACTTTCCATTCCTCGACCTCATACCGTAGCCCCTCGTTCTTGCTCCTTAGATCCAGGTGCTGCTTCTCGCTCGCTTCGAGTTCCTTTTCAAGTTCCTGCTCGAGCTCCTTGGAAGACGCCTGAAAGTCCGCAAGCTCCGATTCCAGTTGCTGGATTTGAGACTTGTAGTAAGCTAGGGCTTCCTTGGCCTCGCTTCCGGGCGAGTCGCAATCCTTTGATGGCATAGCTGTTGGGCGGGTATTTCTCCTTTTTTTTTCTTTTTTCTTTTCCGGTTTGTGTCGATGTCAACAGTCGGAGACGGTGCTGATATTCGTTACGTCGTTTCGTCGGACACAGGAAGTCACCGAGAGGGGCGATGGGCCACTCTCTTGGTTGGTCGATGACTCCGCTGGCTAGTGGTCGATCGTTTCGTGCGTCGTCAAGATAGGGGGCGGGGAGCTCGTTCCAGCGGTGACGATGCGGAAAGGTGAAAGAGAGAAAGAGAGAAGGGGCGATGGCCAAATCAACGCTGCCGAATGTCCGTTATCGGCCTCCTGAGACGGTTCCCCCCTGCTTTGCTGATTTATCAAATCCCCTTTATCAGGCACCCTTCCCCTTTCTTTTTCCTTTCTCCCCGTTACCCGATTCCGTCCCCGCTAGTTTGCCCGTTTGTCGAATGGGACCGGTTTGCTGACTATGAGCGGGCAGTATTCGTGGGCCGTTGTCGCCGTCGTCGCTATTTCTCTTCGTCCAGCCGGGGGGGAGGGAGAAGAGGACGGAATGAAGGTGAGTCGGCGGGGCTGTTGTTTTGTTGTCTCCGGTTGTCAGGGGTGAACGAACTAAACCCTGTTGTGTTGTCCAAGCAGCGACGTGAAAGGGGAGCATCTCTCAACATTTGTTTGCGATGGCTATGGTAGTTCGCCAGGGCGAATCGACGTAATGCATAGATATTGTTTACTTTTACGATTTTATGGAAAATGGCGGAGTAATCATCATATCACCCTACCGTTAATGCCCATTCATTCTACAGGTAGCATATCGCCGGAGCTGGGTCGGTGCTGTGGGCTACTCTACCAGTACCACGAATTCCCGCCGGATAATGCTGGCAATGGCTTCTTTCGCGTTGGACCCTCTGCACAACGGAAAATCCGCTCGCACTTCGCTCGGACAGTCAGCCAGATCTGTGCTCCTTACATAATTGGTTTCATGTACTCGTCACGTGAGCCCCAAATCTACTCGAGCACCGGTAAGTTACCGTAATCTTTCTGGGGTTGAAGCAACCTGGATTGGGAGGGATGAGAACATCGATGCAGCTCGTAGAATGCAGTCTGGGTTCACTGGGCTGCATAACGGTGTGCGCATCGCAGATCGCCCTACCGTGACTTGGCCTGTACCACAGGGCCGCTTTGATACAAACAGCTATCATAAGGGTCCTGTAAGCCGCACGATTATGACATGACAATCTCCCATTGCCTTCATTGTCTTCTCATATATATAATACTTTGTTATGATATAGCATGCAAACGGAAAAATGAACTGCGAATATCTAATCATGGGACAGGTAGCTCTCATACCGCGACAACCTACAAAGCTACGTATCATACCGTGGGGATTCCCTCTTGGACTCCCCGATCCCGCTACCGCACTTGTACTCGTATTGCACCGTTCCTTCACCGCACTGAGAGCTGTGCCGCCTCGAACGGCCGGAATCAATATTTAGGGTCTCAACTACCCATGTCACTGGGATTCACTTCATCCCCCCATATTGGGTGTCACGAGCCACCACTAGCCCCACCATACGATACAGTACGGTATGCCCCTCTCGAGTCTTTCGGGATGTATCATGCTAAACCGAACGCAGGTGCTAAGTCGGCCGCCCCCACGGATGCACCACCACCCCTTCCCCCCGATTATGGAAGGGCGCGAAATATTTTCCAATCAAACAACATCAGGGTAGTACAAAGTATTAGATATGGCCAACACCCCACCTTCTCCGTGAAGTCAGCTCACTTTCTCTAAATATATCATAATATATCGCCGATGGGCTCCCCGTTCGAAATAAGGGTTCAAATTATTCAACCTATAAATTTTTGAGGCCAATCAGGTGGCATACCGATATCCCCCTCTCCACCTTTTTAACCCCAATCACCTTCACGCCGGCACCGCGATGGGACCTACTGTCGGAACCCCCGGAGCTTTTCGGTGCAGGGTTTGGAAGGGCCTAGCGGCAACGTTTATTCTCATCCTGAAAGCTGCAGGCTTCCCATGTCCTCACCCTAAATGCCAGCCAATTGCACATGCGGGTGCTGATCTTTTAGAGTCCCTCAGGAGCCACCACAGACAAGTTCTCGCCCCCTCCGCCCGGCTAGGTCATTGTACATTCTCCCAAACACCCCAGCGAAAGAACTTACGGCTCCCGCATCACAGTATCTCCAGCCCAGTACTGCGCGAGACCTTGCTGTATAATAACCTCCGGGGCGAGGAATTATATAATAAGGCGACATGTGCTTACCCCAACATATTCGAGGCTCCCAGTACCCCCGTGTTTATATGGTATAACAACCCCGAGAAATTTCTGTTTGTAAGCTAGTTGGCTTTAGTGTGTTGACACTTGCATGCGCCACTCAGCTAGAAACTTAGGTACAAGCTTAGTGACATCCCAAAATATACCCGTTAATATCAGACCCAATATAAGACAAAGAAAGTTACAACTAGTCCCTTCTGATTCGCCCTTAGGTTTATTCCAAGGATCTATGCTTTTACCTCCAACATGATGTCTCTCCATCATGATTCAATCCCACATTGCCCCCGACATTATGACCCTCTCTGACAGCAATAGAATCCTCCCGCTTATCTTATAATTCATCCTCTTCAATTAACCCCAAGCATAGCTCTTCGCCAGTCAAGTCCCACAGCTTGCTTCTTCCAATGGCTCATCTCTCCCCACCGGCTCCTCTACTTCGCTAATCGTCACCCGCCTCCTTTATAGTGAATTCAATATTTGATATTAAATTTTTTTGTTAACACTCTGGTGAGAGAACATGATTGCCACAACCAGCAGGCAAGTATTGGTTCCCGTAGTAATTTACATGGGGTATCTGGCCGGCGCAGTGGCTAATATTTCAAGAACCAATTAACCCCTGTGCGCTTAGCAGGTGCCCGGGAGTTTGATTCACGCTCATAGATGAGTTATTGTTGAATGATCCACAAGGTGGGGAAGGGGAATTACCAGTTCCGCTACTAACCTATGGGAAATGGGAGACAGGACCTTCAGCCCTACTCTTATCTCTTGGTTGTAAGGCAAACGAGATGCACGACGAGGTGGCAGAATCAGACCCTGGACCATACTCTCGATGGCAAGGTCCGCCATCCGCGGGGTTAGCAGGACCCGAAGAATGCCAAAGATTAGTAAAAAATAATAATTCCACGCTTTGTGATAGTTATATTTTCTGAATGTTTTCGGACCCTCCTGTGTGATACGGGCACGACTGAACTGGTCTGTGATAGTGGTCATTTTCCATTTAAACACCTTGTCACTGTTGAAGTGATGAGTGATAGTGTGTCGTGGTTGGCCATGGAAGGTATGGAAAGTGGAAGGATAAGGTTGTTTGCCCGAGTGGCAGGAATGTTTTCGGGATTTAGAAGTATGATAGATTTGTTTGAAGGCTGGAAGCAGATTTCACAGCTATGTCTTTCCTTTGTTATTACGGATGTGAACAGAGGAGTTTGGACATGGAGGGAATGTTAGAGATGGGTGTAGTGGTTTATGGAGAGGTTAGATTGCTTTGATGATGTTTTCCTTGTACACCTGTCATTACCTATCAGCGAAGGAGAGAGAGACGAAGAACACACCCTTCTTAGTGATCCCACCACAGATATTCTCTTTACTGTTCCGTTCTATTAGCACTGCGCATTCTGATAGCGACCACCATCACAACAGTCACGACTAATCACCTTGTATATGGGGGGCTAGGTGTGAATTTTCACCCGCAGTAACGAGGATCGATATCCACAAATTCATGTCCCAGAGATACCCCCGCCCCTAATAGTCTCTGCGGGGGCCTCCTAACCCACAGTCAAGCACAACCGATGCCCGTGATACTTATAAGTACGTACACTCGTCACGATCGATCTTTACTTGTCAGCAATAGCAATGCACAAACATTTCAAGTCTCCTCCTTCCCTTAGGTAGCCTAATGCACATCCTCCCCTAACGTACTTATATCCCTTCAGCTCCCGTTTACCCTAATAGAGGAACAGAGCACAGCCAGTGGGGTGTTGTATATTTCTTTATTGAGGTTATGCTTTCTACTTATGGCGGACTAGTCTCCGGGCCTCTGCGTATCCAGCATTGCTTCCCCGTTCACTAGAAAGCGGATGCCGTCCAGGCGATTCAAGGGTTGAGATACAGTACATGGTATAGTTTGTAAAATAGCATACAGATTGCCTTCCAGAAGGTAGAAAACTATCTGCAATCAGTGGGCATAAGTCCTCCATGAATTATAGGCCTGAATACTAGTTTTCTTGGGCGAAAAACCTCCTGTGCTCATCCTAGATACGCCTCCATTTTATCCGCTCCGTGCCCAATATGGATAACCAATGCTCAATGGTCAGTGGCATTCCTTTTCCCGGGAACCGAGTAACATAGTGTGAGGGAACAACAAGTAAGAAGTGCTCAGCGATCAGTCCTACCAAATTTGGTGCCAGGTGCTTGACACTAGATTGTTAGCGTATTTTTAGCCCTCTCCATTTATTCGTTATCCACTACTTGGGTATTGTACCCTCGACCATACCTACCGATTCAGCTCTCCCCCCCACCGGAATAGGAAATATAGAGGCGCCGATAGTGCTACAGCAGTGCCAGAGTGTATAGGGTAGTAACATGTGGCAGCTTGGTGCTAAATGATAATATGTGTACTGCACTACTCCAAACCCGCAAGCAAGTACTACTTGGAAAAATCGCTATACGAAAAGCTTTAACCTGGTAAGCATCACTCAGAATTTATAACAATATCACCTGAAATCTTACCCACTGAATAGCACAACCCTAGTATTCCTCCATAGGAAGGACATAATCCCCTTGCCTTATTACGGTACCTTCAGGCCAATCGCTTGTTATTTTATTTTTCCTATCTGCAGGAAAGAAGTTCGAAGCGGGGTGTACTCCAGATGAGCGAGCAGTCTAACACCTCCACACATTGATACACTGAGTGATGTAAATGCCAAAACACCTCTTGCCGATTGCAGCTCTCCTGAGGGATTGTACTCGGCTTTGGGGTCAGTAGTCACAAGAACCAACACAACATAAAGCTGTGTCGGGGGGTATGTCTCCTCCTTGGCAGGAATGACGGGAACCTAGGTATACGGGTGATATACATTTCAGTACGACAGAGTGTTGACCAGCCGGGAGGCTAAACCGGATCACGACGTCTGTCCTGTGACCCAAAAATATTGCATGTGCGTATAAAGTTACCCACGTTCCCGACCTACCTGCCGAAGCGACATATCCCCCGACACGACTTTGCAAGATGATTGGCTAAGGACACTAACACAGGAATATCTGTTCATAATAGATTGTTCGTTATGTTCCGGCCGTAGTCTGGTTCAAGCTTGCTAATATCACTCATCAATTCCTGTTGACTTGAACAGTTGTGTTAGGAGGCCCAAAGTTTCTCTATTTCTCCCTACCGGTATCCGGTCCCCCGACGGGACGGGGTCAGAATGTGGAGATCAACTGCCGATACGGTATTCGGAGCTGACACCTCTTGCGATGAACCACAACATTACTTTTCAAGAAATATCCCAAGCATCCCCCCCCCAGACGGCCACCAAGATGCATTCGAAAAGCGGGTCTCGGAGCCTAAATGGGGCTGGGGAAGACATCTTTCTATAGATCTTTTTAGAGAAGAACCAAATCGGGTGCCAGCGTCTCTGAAGCTAAAAAAAAAGAAAAGTAAAAAAGAAAATCAATGTCGCCTAGATATGGAACCACTAAGCTCACCCCATGTTCCTCCTTTTCTCCCCCCCTCTCCCGTCCGCCACCCCCGGCCCCTTCTTACGTGTATTCTCCACTGACTTAATTTATCTCTTATCCCCCTCCCAAAGATCAAACCGCCAACTGTTTAGCCACCCCCAACCACCCCTAGCCATGAGTGGCTGGACCCTTATTGGTGAATGCATCAGGTATCACTTGCAACTTCGCACCGCAGCTGCCGCTTTTCGGAACTTCCCAGGTTCCAGACAACACCTGAAACTACCGATTAGAGCGCCAAACCACTATCAGACTGCTTTCTGCGACTTCCTGGCTCCGCGGGGGTGTTAACTCGACAGATTTTAGCGGCATGTCACTAGAGGTTCCCCCCGCGTATTTGATGTCCTTATCTCGTTTTCAGGAAGAAATTTCAACAACAAACGGGGCCTTACCTGCACCCAACTCCGAACACGTTTTCCTCTTATTTCTCCCACAACTCACCAACCCTACTCCGATCCCGGCATTTATTGATCCAGAACTACCCCGCTTTCTTGTAAATGGGGCGAGCAGATTGTTTAACATTCCGATCCAGAATGTCACACACGAGCGTGTTGGCGATTCCTGTCGATCAGGTACTCGGAACAGGCCGGACAGCGATCAGCAACAGGGTTCCTTAGGCAACTTTTCCATTCTCGGACCTCGCATACCGGCAACATAACAAAAGGGCTCCACCAAGAAAAACAAACCAACTATTGCGGGTGGTATATAACCCAGATTGACCACCGTACCGACACATTCTTTTTTCCGATTTCCCACTGTACCGTTCCACCCCCAAGTACGAATTTTCTCAGAATCGCTCTCAATAATACCGGTATGTCAATTGTTGTCCTCGACCTCGTATAACACTAGAGCTAAACAACCAATCAATCAAGTGTAAGCCCATTGAAGCTAATTATTTAGCAACCAGTGCTTTCAGATGACCCGCTCGAGCACGAAACCGATACCATACCGAATAGTCCAATCGTACGGAATTCCCCGAGTAGACAACGACCTGTGTGTAAGTACCAGGCATCAAGTACCAGAACATCTAAGTCTAGATTTAGTACGGACGCTCAGAGGTGCACGGATAGATCGCCATAAAAGCCTTTGATTCCTGTATCTGGATACTTCATACCGGATACTTGTATGATAGGGCCAGACCGCACCAAGCGCAATAGATCTCCGCCCCATACAATCCCCTATACAACGCCTAGCCGCGAGAGGATTAATAAAAAAAACAGTTGCCAACTCAGCTTAACGCCTCCAGGGACTTCTTGGTACCTTTGGGAAGCATAATACGCACGACTCCAAATATACCCCCCCCCCCCATCAGCTACCAGATTTTCTACCCGTTTTCCACGACCTCGTAATGGCTTCTCCATCGGCAGCAGTATGTAGGGCTACCATGTGCGATGCCCCTCCAGTATTCCCCTCGAAAATTATCACTCTAAAGCATTTAACCTTAGGGGGTGCTTCTCAGTTGGCATGGCGGCAATACCGCTGTTGTTTTATCCCAGGTTATATCTTCCGGGGAAGTTGCATCCTCCTAAAACTACCCGATCTGTGTTTGCTTGCGCAAGGAACGGTTCTATGGGCTTCGCCTACATCTCGCCGGAAAGAGAGCCCATTTCCTCTGCTGCAACGTGTGGGACCTGCATATGCCCCCATCTTGTATGTTGGCCAGTGGAGGTGTCTATGCAACAGGGACCATAAAATCAGCAACAAGATCGATTCGTCCACCCCAGGATAGGGGGTCGGACAATATCCCTCCCCACGCCAAACATCAATAACTGCTGGGTTGAATCCCCGGGTGTCATTTGGGGGGAGATGTCACTTAAAAAAAAAGTATACTGTTGGAGGCTGCAGGAAAGCCCACAAAGAAATTATAAATAAAGGAGGCAAAATACAAAAAAAAAAGACAAGTAAGCAACAAGCTTCCCACCAGTCATCCCTCTTTAATCTAAAGTCTTTTGATCATAGGCATCCCATCAAATAATAAAACTCAACTCTTCCTCTAGCCCTAGGATCTATGGCCATCCGTCACTAGACCCTCCAGGCATTCTAGCCGAGTGCTCTATCAAAAAGACGAATAAAAACAGTCACGAAAAGGAAAACGGAGACAAGCAAACACATAACACAAAACGCAAAAGAAAGAGAAAAAACACCAATCCTCCTATCACCCTAAGGCATCCTGACAACCTGATATGCCAGACACATTGAACCACTTCGCTCCAATCATAAACAGTCGTACCTATGTGAACTCACCCCCCACCCCGACGCCGAGGCTTCAGGTTCCAATCTTTCACCCCTTGGATACCGCAATTATTCTGGACGGGGCCTTACTCAGAGGATGGTGGCGAAGGTACATTGGCTCCCCTATTCCGGATATGTTCCAAGAATTGCTGGGCATCGGAACCTGGTAGTACGATAATCCGATGATGTCAGTCACTTGAAGCTCGAGGAAGCGATAGCATCGGGGTTAATCACCAATCTCAATTGGTGCTGAAGATCGCTGCACCGCAATTACATTGCTCTTAACTTCCTCCAATGACGTGCCACCCCCGTGCATTTCCCGAGACCCTGTTGGGGTAGATCGCGCCCTTCTCCGGTCACCAATCTTGAATAAACTAACACCCAATCTGTATCTGCCAGTACGATTTATCATAAGATCTGGGAAAATAACATAGCTTCCGTGCTGCCGGCTAAGTGGAGCCGCATCTTCGGATCCCTCACCATCACCCAAGAGGTCCAATGACATTGAGAGGCGTCCAGAGAGAAGATAGAGGTCGGGAGGGGCCAATGGGGGCCCATCACCGCTCTCACCGTACAGAGTTGCCTGGGCAAAGAGACTGTTGAGTTCATCCTCGCCACTAAGCGCTTCTCCAGTGTTCGCATCGCTGATGTGCACACGTATTGCCAAGGGCGGATACAAACGTGCGCCGGATTTTGCAACTCTCGGAGGTTGAACAGCAACCTCAAGAGCATACAACCTCTCGGGGCCATCAAAAGAGCCGCTCGAATGATTCGGGCGTGATGTAGAACCCATGTCTAATCCTTCGTCGGCAGTGATGTTGGGGGTGGGGACACGCTCTTCGTTATTGTGTGGAAGTAGTTCCGCCGCTCTGTTGGATTCACGAAGATTGCGGGATCGGCGGCGAGTTATTGATCTACTTGCCTCGGCCTCAGAAGCTCGTTCGGCAATCGGTGGTTGTGCAGAGTTTAGGTTTAGGCGGGCTGAACGACGCAATTGGACTAAGGGTTGTCTAGTGGATGGGCCAGGCTCGGCTGATTCGTCTACTATCGTTGCTAACTGTTGACCAGACCTTCGGCGGCGGCCGAGGCGTGTCTGCTGACTTTGCTGTTGACCTCTAAGGGATCCTGGTTGACTTCTTGTCCGCCGCAATCTTTGCCCTCCTCGCATGAGAAGATAAGCTTCGTTCGGCCTGCAATTGGGGTCGCCTTCGTCAGCGCATCATTCCTTGGCGATTCAAGATTGGATAATTGATGGAAGAGAGAGGACAAAAGGGACAGTGAGGACAATAGTTGACAAGAAAACAGAACCGATCACAGTAAGAGTAAGCTTCCAGAAGAGAAGAAAAAACGGAATAATAAAGGCTATTACGGAAAAGCTCCTGGAAATTGATAAGCCCTAGCTTATTCTTCCGAAAACAACAAAAGGATCCTGAGTAGCACATCCAAGAGTCACTCCAAGAGTCACTCCTGTCCTTATTATATGTTAGGACAGGAGTGGAGAGAAGGGACGCCGTCAAGGAAGCCCGAGGAGGGCTACCGCACATCGGTGTGAGAAACACAACTATCGAGATTGGCACTAGGGCGAAAAATAAGGCCGTCGACGATACGGTGTGCTCCGTTGCTTACTTGTGTGCCCTTCTTTCTGTTGGAAACACAACATAGATGCGGTAGAACGCATTTTGAATATGGATATAATCGGAATCGATATCTTGCAAGGGTAATAACAGATTGCTGTCGGAATTCCTTGTTCCTAACTTGCCGTCGTTTGAAGTTGGACGGAACACGAGAAAGCTGGTCTGCGGATATAAAAGAGATACTCGGTTCGGAGAGCTCATGCGGGGGCACCTGACGAGTACCACACCGGGCCGTCATGGTATACACAATTTAAGAGAAACCCTTGGAAACAAGAGGACGGGTCCCCTGAATTTAAAATGGCGGTACCGAGGGCCTGGGTGGCCCATGGAATTTTCGTCAATTGAGCTGCAGAACCGAGATGGGAAGAGCGGAAATGTGATATGTGCCACGCTTTCGGAATGCCGAGCAGGGTTACACCCTTGAAATGGATGAACCGCCAAGGATATCTGTATTCCAGTTGCTCGGACAACTGAACCTCAGATGATGTTCCATGACGCGGTACGCTCGTTATCCGTTAATTGCGACGGTTGACCGATTGTGAACAAAAGGGTTGTTGGTTGTTTAGACACAACCAATTTTCCCTTCCGTCAAGCCAAAACAATTAAACGAAACGAGCTCTCTAATAATCGTTGCTCGGGAGACTAGGGGACCTAGCTTCCCCACCTTCATTTTAACGAAACCGGAACCACTCATGCACCGGGCAGCAAGTGAGTGGAAAAAAAAGAAACAAGACCCAGAGGGAAACCCTTGCCGGGCCCGAAACCAACCAACTAACCACGACTTACCAGGTGCGACCCAAAGTGTAAAACACTGAATTGGAAAAAGTACGAGAACGATCAATGAAATAAATGAAGAGGAGGAAAAATCAAAAAGAGTAAAAGATGAAAATTTGGTAAGACCTTTTCTGGCAACACCCCAGTTCTCAGACCGCGGACAAAGTCGTGTCAGGTTGGGATGGTGAGTAGATTAAAAGCGTCGTTATGGGCGCTCACTGGCTGAGGCCCGAGTTTGGTATGACCCCTAGAAAAAGAGCTCCTAACAAACGAGAGAAGCGAAAGTACTTCCGGATCCGCTCGAGCAAACAACCTGTCGCAGCCAGTCAGCATAGGAAGTACGAGGTATGCACTTCATCGAATACACTTCGTTCTTTTCCCCTTCTCTCTTTCACCGGAGGTGGGCGTTCCAGCTTTGAGGGTTTACAAACCGGCAAATCAACTCTAGTCAAGCGAAAGATGGAGAACGGGAAGGATAACGACGAGAGTGGGGAGAAGAATAACACTCCAGACGCCCCGCCAACCTGATGATCATACACGCCTCGGCTGCGGGTCCTTTATGTTGTGCGAGGGTGTCCGGCGTCGAGATCTCGGTTTAATATCGACGATGTCTCCAGCTGTGCGCCGATAGCGCCCCGGTACTGGTATGAGAAATGTGGGAGGTATTCCGAGAGGAGGTCCGGATATCTATGTCTTGGGGCTGTGAGTTTATCACTTCTCAGATATCGGCTGTTTATCAAGCCTCGGTTTGATATTTGGACGGGAAAGAAGGGAGACGGAGAAGATGGGGGGGGTGAGGAGAAGATGGGGTAAGGCGAGAGAAAGTACAAGGTTTTTTTTTGGTCCGAGTCATATGAGGTTTAGGATGATTCAACCAACCCCCTTTGCCTTCTACCCACCTTCTCACAGGTACTTTTTATATTGACATACAGCGGACAGGGGATCACAACGACTCAGTAAGAAACCAGCCCCCTACCAAACGAAGACCCGAGATCGGGGCATTTGCTGTAGACCCAAATAGACATCTGCAGGTTGCTAATAGGGCCGCCCCAGTGCCATACGGTTGGGCCCATCCCGAAGACCTGGGGATCCAATTGCCCGTTGCATATGCAAGGTCCCACCAACTGCGACCTACATGATAGAAAAAAAAAATAGTCATAACTCGAGGGTCATAGGTCTTTGGGCGGATACAGTAAACACATTGGGGGTTGGATCCAAAAATGAAAATCGATTTTTGCAGCGGCAATCCACTATCATAGTGGCTCGCGGTACTCTGTAGTACAGAAAAGGCCCCCCTCGCATTAACAATGCATGGGGAGAAAGCGGTATGTTCCATTGTCGCTTGTTGTAACGTCTTTTAAAATGCGGACAGCAAAAGGTGTCCCCGAATAAACAACTATAGAATGTTCCAGTTGCCTTCGGTAATACCGTCGCATGGGCTTCAAAAGACGGACCGATATGTCACGATAAATTACTTTTTTTGTCTCTTCCAGTCCTATGGGAGGGGCTCGAAGTTTGTTCTGATTACATGGCTACGGTACCGTACCCCGAACATCCGATTATTCTGCCGGTTGTGGGCGACGGGCAAACCAAAGTACGAGTATTATTGACTTTGTGGCGCACACACCCGGCTCCAGTAGCCTAGGTATCTCACAAATTGCATCCCTGATCAGCGAATCAATCAAGCCTTGGACCCAACTAGATCTCACCTGGAACTGGCATCAGACAATAGCAATGGTCTGAAGATTGCATGTGAAGCGGCACTAGAAAAGAAGCAAAAACTGACCAAGCCCATGTCCTGGCTTCTCGATCACTGGCATTATAATATCACTTTTCACGCTCTGGCTGACAGCCATTCAACAGGTCACGGTCTAGAGCCGGGAGGCTTCAGTCGGTGTCAAGCGCGGGAGCTACCCACTAGTGATTTGATGGGCTCAATATGCGCCAATAAAGATATTCCGGAATACGACCGCTCCGCATTGCGTAGTTTATCTCGGAGAGCTCAGCTCTAAACCAAAGATGGCGATGCACGGTCACCACGATTGCCACCAACAATATCACTACGATTCTTTTTAACCCTTTTGCGGTTTTTTATTTTTTTTTGTGATATCCGCACTTCGGGGAGATGTCACGTACGATACGTTACATCCACTTGGGCCCCGATGCCTCTTTGATTCCTTTACAATCCACTCACTATAGAACATTGAGACATCCCCAATCAGTGTGCTCGAGTAGCTCACTGCAATCAAAGTGGATTATACCGTGTTTTTGCAAATCCTTGCCCTATATATCCACAAATAAAGACCAATACATCGTGGAGAATTTTGATGGGTGGTATATTAAGCCATGTGTAATAATACACGAATTTGGTCACTGAGCTCTTTATGGTAAGCCTGAACCGGCTGCGGGGTGTGTGTGGTGTGTTGTGGTTTGCCCTGAGCTGAAGAATACCCCGACTTACATGTATAATAGACCATCTTCCCTTACGATGCCGGCAGTTTATTTCCGCCCCCGAACACCGATGGCAAGCTGGGAGAGTAAGCCGCGCAAAGGTTGTTACTCGTAGAGCAGAACACGAGGAGCTATAATCCTAAAGAGGCATACGGCGCAGGAAAAGCATGGTGGTTTGGACGAGAAAAGGAAGAGAAATGAGGATACCAACCAAAACGTCCATTTCTAGGTTTATACGGAGACTATCACACATACTGGCCAAGCTCCCCTACCCCCTCACGCTTCCCCCTAGCCTTTGGATATTCCGGGAAGATTGTTACACTAGGAGAAGGGAAGGGGGGAGCATAATTTTGCATTCGTCTATCTGGTCCACCAACATTCTGCATTCAATTAACCGTGCTCAAACAAGGAGTTTCTACACATGTAGCTACCTTCTAAATTCCAAAACAAAGACAATCAAAGACAATCGAGGGAAGAAGAAAAAAAAGAAAACAACCACTTAGAACTAACAAGCCGCCTGTTTATGATCTCGGTATTCAGAACCGGATTGGGACCAGAGTAAGATACCGGGGAGCGGGCAGCACCTACCGGTCCCGTATGAGCATCAGTAGTGTGCAAGCCTCAACTCAATATGGTATGATAGAGCACCGTCTCCAGGATCCGGCCCTCGGGAATCCCGAGTCCCGCTGCGGGTAAGGGCAAGGCGAGGGGGGGAAGAAAGCCCCACCCAGCCCGCATTGAAGTTTGATATCATAGGTGCCCCGGGGTAATGGTAACATCCACTCCATGCGCATCACACATATCCTTTCCAAAATGCCCAACGACAAAGTCTAAACAGTCCAACTTAGCTACAAATTCCTCATACATTAGCTGCTTTCTCGCACGATACCAGTAGAGTAATACAGTACACGACATTGTTATGATAGTATTGGCTAATATGCGCTTAAAGGCACGAAACCAGTGATGCTAAGTGGGAGCACAGTATCATCCAATGTCATGTAATCGAAGAAGCCAAAAATTCAATTTTTACTTTTTAATTTCCCTTCTGGCCCTTCCAGTTTCTTAGCTCATCCCGATCTTTTTTTCCCCTTCTTTCTTCCCTCGTTCGTTCTACAACTTCTAATGTTCTCTATTCACCGTATCCAGATAGAATCAATGAGATATCTCTCCCTTTTTTCTCCCCTCCCCCCCTTCACGACCCCCCGCCCGAGAAAATCAACACAAGTCAAAAAAAACAGTCACCCTACTGTACCAACACCGCATCCTGACATCTGACAAGAGCAAGATAAGTTAATCTCAACCAGCCGGTAGGGTACCGTACGCTGATACACATATCAATATCATACCGACCCCCCCTCTCTTCTCCCAACCCGTGATGTCAATGCTCGACCCTAAAAACAAAAACAAAAAACAAAAAAAAAGAAAAGAAAATTAATAAAACATGATAACAAGTCTGTTAGCTTTGATATCGCTATTTAAACCTTTGGCTTAGTGTTGGGTTAGCTAAGCCTTGGCACGCTCATTCGCTCGCCCACCTACGTTCC